TTCAATCATTTGCGCCACACAATCACGCCCTTCAAAATCTAGAATATCACCAATTTTATCATTATAAATAAAACAAGCGCAACATAAATAAGGTATATGTCTTTGATCTTTTTCTATTTTTGGATCAAAATAACATTCAATATCAAAACACACTGATACTTTTTCTACTTTAGAAGTTATACTTAATGGGTCAAAAGAAGTATATTTTTTATTTTTACGTTGTTTTCTAAGATTGAATATAACACCAACATGTTCCTTATATCTTAATAAATATTTAATATTAGGATTTAATACTGAAATTGATTTTATTGGGCTTTCAGAATGTATTTTTAGATCTAAATAATTTTTAACATCTAAAATACTATCTATATGATCTGAAAGAGTTAATACGCATACTTTGTTATCAAAATAATTATATATTTCTTGTAAAGAATTACATTCTAAACCTGATTCTAAAAAATCAGAACATTGAGTTATACAATTAATATCTAAATCATTAGCTGTAAAAACATCAAATGATTCTCTAAATATTATGGTAGGAATATCATCACCCCAAAACAATACCGACTTAGGTTTTGGATAATATAAAGATGTAAAATAGAATACAGTATTACTACTTTTATCAGTTGAATATATTGGTTCATATCCCCCTTGTAAATTTTTAACTCTTTCAATTTGGTTATAAAATTCCGTATATAATTTATCAATATCATTATCTATAGTAGATAATCTAACTGAAATAGATCTTGTTGATAATGATGATATACCGTTAGTAAACACTCTAAAATACATATATGAATTAGCATCACGCTCAACATCAGTAAAACTTTCAGCATCAGTAATAGTTTCAATCATACGTTCTTTCATACTTATAATTGTAGATTTAGGGAATGATATAATTCTGTTATCCACCAAAAGTTCTGGTTGATTTAATAATAATGAATCCTCATGAAATCCTAACGAAACAGATTTAAATCTATGATAAGATTTAAGATAACCTACTCGTTCAGGTTTTTCATCTTCCAACATTCTTTCAGCTTGTTCTTCAGCTCTCCGCATTCGTTCATAATGACGTGAAAGATTATTACTCCTCCATTCTGTATTTAATTCTTGACGTTTAAATTCTATTAAACCATTTTTAGCTAACTGTGGAAAACTATTCCAAACATCTTTAGTATATTCTTTTTCTAATAACTCTACTGCTTTAGACTTATTTAATTCGTACTCCATATTTAAATAATTGAAATATGTACTGTTCAGATACCCTATAAATAATTAATTATCTTCGCCTTTTTATTCGATTATTTTATGCTAAGTATTTTAAAAATAAAAAACACTTATATTTGAAACTTGAAAAATAATAAAAAATGATTATCATTTTCAAAAACAAAATCACAGAATTAGATATGTATGTTGATGATACTATTTTTGATATAATAGAGTATGAAAATGAAATTGATATTAGAAAATATATTTTAAAAAATCCTATAGGTTTTTACATGATATGGACTAAAAAAAGAATTATGAGAATGCAATTGTCTGAACTTAATTTTGATAAGCATACTATAATGGAAAACAAAGACAGTGACTATTACTTGTTATCATTAACAACTAAAGCTGGTGATATATTAGAAAGAATAATGCATCATATGAATATTAATCATAATCACAACAAATGTCTGATATAATAAGAATATATACATACGGTGATGTTTTGGAAAAATATCATGATAAAATTGAAATAATATATATTAATCACGAAAATGAAATGATAATTAATTTAACTGATAATATAGAAGATAACAACCATTATTATATAATATTAAAAAACAATAAAATATATCTCAATAAATACAGAACAAAATACGAATTAGAAATAAATGAAGATGAAATAGATTACATAAACGAAGGATATATTTTAGATTCAACTCTAAAACCTTTAATTTTGAAAGTAAATGATAATTTAGAATACAATGCTGAAATTTATAAAGAAGATGATAACGCTATGTATGGACAAATATTAGACATGCCATACATATATTGTGCTGTGAGTGGTCCAAAGAAATTTTTTAAAGATTACGTTTATTTCATAGAAAATGAAAAATATAGAATATATATTAAAGAAAAAAATATGCGTAAAAAATTTAAAAGAGGAATATTATTTGATACTCCTGAAAAAATATATTCTAGAAAGAAATTATTAGATTTAATATGAA